ATATATATATATATATAGAGGCCTTACACAATATTGTAAAGATGACCCTAATACAGACTGTAACAGGGGGCGATATGTATGTTAAAGTATGGTGTTGTTTACAGGTCCCCTTGTTTAGATTTTGCAAAAGTGAGGGGGATCGCCCCCCCCCCCCCCCCCCCAGAATTTCCTATTTCCCAAGTTGTTTGTTTCCAGTGTTTGGGCCTCAGGGGGTGGTGGAAGAACTAGGAAAATCACCAGACATTTAATGGGAAAAACCAAGACCAGCAGGAAATCGGAACCTCCGATTTAAGGTGGCATTGGCGCCAAGTCTGCAGGCCTTTTTGATTTAGCAGAACTTCGCAGTTGCTTTCTAGAGTGGGGGTAGGAGATCTGGCAACCCTAAACCCTAGACTCTAAACCCTAAGCCCCAAACCCCAAACCCTAAACCCTAAGACCCTAAACCGTTGAAGGCACATCATGCTAAGAAGTTGCCCCAAGGATCCTAGTCGCCTGCTGTGGGGCCGTTTTCTTTGGCTCTGTGGAGAGGGTTTAGGCTTCAGGGTTTAGGGTTTTGGGTTTAGGGTTTTAGTTTTTGGGTTGAGGGTTTAGGGTATAGGGTTTTGGGTTTTGGGTTTGTGGTGCGGCATGCCAAGGGTATGGTGAGCTTGAAGACCGGCTCCCCGCGCAGTTGCCAAGTGCCTGCAGCTTCGTTTCGAGTGTGGCATGCCACCGAATTCAGCGAGGAGCGGATGTGAGGTGAGATCTGGTTCCTGGCTGCGCCTAACCCCTAAACCCTAAACCCTTAACCCTAAACCCTTAAACCTTAACCCTAACCCCTAAACCCTAAACCCTAAACCCTACCCCTAAACCCTAAACCCTTAAACCCTAACCCCTCTTCGATCTGGCGGTCGCCGTCAGCGGCGAGTTGAGCGTCAGGAGGCAGGCCCAGTCTTAAGACTCCATGCCCAGCGCTCTTCTTTAAGGACGAAATGAATTCTAAAAGGGCTTAAGGTTCAAATACCTCGGTAGGGGTTCATACTGAGTATAAGGGTTATAGGGCCCTTACTTTCCGGGGTCATTTGGGTAGCCCTAAACCCCCAACCTTAAACCCTAAGCGCTAAACCCCTAAGGTGAAGGTGCTGAGCAGGTTTTGGAGATTATCCGCCCGAAAGAGTTCTGTATCCCAAAGCTGCCGGCCACGCTCGATTCCGACGAGCGGTACTCGTTGTGTAGTGTGGAATCCACGGCTTCTCGTCTTCTTTAGGGCCCTTACAGCTTAGTTAGGCTGCAGTCTTCTAGGCTGAGGGCTTTGAGCTTGGAGTTGTGGCGTAGATTAATTGAAGGATGAGGATGGCGCCTGGAACATGCACAGTGCACAAGTTCGTAGCAATTGTGGTTCAATGTGCCTTCAACGCCGGATATGGATCGATTCATGCCTTCAGCTGTGAAGGTCACGGAATACAATATCGGATCTTCCTGTTGAGGCTTTTAACCTTGTGGGTTTGTCAGTCCAAAACTTGCTAAACCCCCCATGTGCAAGCCTTTCGCTTCCCTGCAATGCAACTATTATAGGTATCTATAGATCGTGATCTCGACCTAAACCCTAAACCCTCCAACCCTAAACCCCTTAAACCCCAAAACATCCCAAACCCTGAGCCCTAAACCCCAAGCCCCAAAACCCTAAACCCCCAAGCCCCAAAACCCTAAACCCCCAAGCCCCAAAACCCTAAACCCCAAGCTCCAAAACCCTAAACCCCAAGCCCCAAAACCCTAAACCCCAAGCCCCAAAGCCCTAAACCCCTAGCCCCAAAGCCCTAAACCCTAAACCCTTAAACCCCTTAAAACCTAAACCCTGCAGCCGGTCTTTTTCCTGTCAGGCCCCAGGGCACCACCGACTGTGAGTCAGCCCCAGGCACGCGGTGAATGCGGGTTAAGGGTTTAGGGTTGAGGGTTTAGGGTTTAGGGTTTGGGGGCTTGGGGCTTAAGATGATACAGGGTTTGGGGTTTGCAGGGCTTAAAATGATTTAGGGTTTGGGGCCGGGTTTAGGGTTTGAGATTTGGGGATTCGTTTGCTGGTCAGCAGTAACCTTTGGCATGGTTTGCGGTTACTGTCTTGAGACTGAACAGCAGGACAAGGCTTCTGTTGTGTTAAGGGGCTGTTCGGGAAATAACAGCATTGAGGGGAGAAAACTTCCTACTAGTATCCCTTCAAAACGCTATACTGGACTTCTCATGAGTATGTCGAAGCCCTAAACCCTAAACCCTAAACCCTAAACCCTAAACTCTAAACCCTAAACCCTAAACCCTAAACCCTCAACCCCAGACTTCTCATTAGAATCCCGAAGACGCCTTTTGTAATCGCCATGTAGGCCCTACAGTACCGGCGAATTGTTTTCCCAGGCTCCTGGCATGCTCCGTATCATTTGTTTTTTCGGGTTTAGGGGTTTAGGGGTTTAGGGTTTAGGGTTTAGGGTTTAGGGTTTAGGGTTTAGGGGTGTAAGGTATGGCTCCAAAGCTGTACTCTCTGGGATTCTCTCACAACTCACTTTATGGGGAGGCAAAGGCGTATGAGCTTAAGAAGATTTTGTCTGATTTTACCATCATTGCCTAATTTGTTCAGGCGTGATGCCTGATTCGTTCAGAAACTCATTCTCGCACGTTGCACAGCTATCGACGGCATCAGATCCCCTGTCCGCAGTACTAGTATTCTTACTACCGTTATTACTAGTACATAATATATATATATATATATATATGTAGATACATATACATATATACACACATGTTGTTACCATTGTTCTTATGATTACTAGAACCTGTGGGATTGTTCGAGTCTAGAAGCCTGAATGATTTGCTAGACTCTTTTGGGGGACAATAAGACCTTCCAAAACACTACTATTTGGGTGGTTCCTTACTACACCTATGGTCTAATATACCCCAAGATTCCTAAACCCTAAACCCTAAACCCTAAACCCTAAACCCTGAACCCTAAACCCTAAACTGGGCCCCAAGACCCCAAGATCCTAGTAACATAATTTCGCCCGCTACATTCTTCGCCCTCCGGCTTGCCTGTGCAAATTCAGAGCTGTGGCAGCAGGGCCATTGCAATCATGAGCAAACCGGAAGCTGCAGAACATTGCCAGGATTTAGGGTTTAGGGTTATTTGGGGTTTAGGGTTCAGGGTTCAGGGTTTAGGGTTTAGGGTTCAGGGTTTAGGGTTGAGGGTTTAGGGTTTACGGTTTAGGCTTTAGGGTTTACGGTTTAGGGTTTAGGGTTTACGGTTTAGGGTTTAGGGCCTCCGTTGCTGCCCGATTTGGTAGAGGCAGGTGTGCTTCAATTGAATGAGAAAACCGAACTGAGCGTGGCCCGCAGGAGTTTATTTTTTCCGGCCTGCGCATGATGTGCTGCAGGCACGGAAGTGGCTACTACAGTGGCCTTAAACCCTAAACCCCGACAGAACCTGTCGGAAAAAAGAGCAGTTTCAAGAACCCCACAGGCTGGGCCCTAAACTGTGAACCATCCTAAACCCTAAACCCTACAGAGCTAAAGACCTGCGAAGTTTCCCTCAAAGTGTCAAATTTTGCCTAATAATCACATACTCTTCCAAATCCTTCCCTGCAAAACTCCTTATCCTAAACCCAAGTACCTAACTATCGGGTCCTTTGGACCCTTGGGGTGTGAAGCTAAGCCTTAAACCCAAACCCCTTAACATAAAAGCCTAAATAATTACCAATACTATCGTGGGGGCTCCTTATTATTATAGTTCTAGTATAATATACCCCCCAAAACCCTATTCTCTAATTATTCAGGCGCCTATATT